GGGGGGGGGGGGGGGGGGGGAAGGGGGTGCGCCGTTCTTCGAAATGTCCCGCTGGTTAACGTCGTGGCGCTAAAGCTGTACTATCCCAAACCATCCCAAACCTGTCCCAACGACGTTGTATGTACGTATGCATCGTGTATCCGATGTGGTGGCCAACGCGGAAAACAACAGAAGAGCCGGATGGCACACTACAGAGAACCACGTCCGGCCACGAAATCCGTAGTCTTTCGTCGGTCCTTGTTGAGCATTCGGCATTCGGAACGCATCTTCAGCGACAACGAAAATCAAAACTACTATTATATATGGTATTATAGTGACGATTTGCCAAGACGTTTTCGCAAGAAAGTGCATTCATCTTCTATACGATCGACGTATCTGGGCTATGTCCCTTGGCTCATACAGAGAAAGTTCTGAAGAACCGTTCGGACAATACTATAATTGGAGTACTCCATATACATACGTGCCCACCTGTCCAATTCTCAGAAACGCGTTTGGAGCGTCAAACAGTCTCCGCCTATCACAATCGAAACTTCACACGGTAGTACGGTTCGTGCGGTAGCGAGCTTCACGGACAGTGCGTCAGAAAAAAATACCATGGTACGAGGACAACAATTAATGAGAGACAGGAAGCGGTGAAATATGTTTTTGAATTTGCCCCAACCGGCGTTGTGTTGTTCGGGCACACCGCGCCGAATAATGTAGTAGAAAGCGCGATCATGGTATACGGCAATTTGTACCGTATTTTTTGGCGCATGTGCGGAAGGTCACGTAATGAGTCAATTTTTCCAGGGTTTTGAATTTGAAACGACCCGTTGGCAATCCGTTAATCACCGAGAGATTTCCCAACCATGAGATGAGATACGGAGCCCGGTAGTATCGTATCGTATCGTATGGTATAGTTTGGTATGGTATGGTATGGTACAGCCGTCGGCGCACCAACAACACCAGACCAGAAAAAAAGGAGAAAGAGTTCAAGGAGGGAAGGGTCACAAAGGGGGACGAAAGCAATGGAGGATAGGGCCGAGGGGGCGGAGGTAGGGAGGGAGGGGAGGGGAGGGGGGTGCCGTGGGTCGACAAGGAAGGGAGGGAGGAAGGAAGAGAGGGGCGGTCAGCCTCATGGTGATGGTGATGACGACGACGATGATGATGAACGAAGAGTGTGACCACAGACAGCAAAATGACCGATTTGGGAGCGCCGTCACCCATCTTCCGAAAACGGGGAAGGGGAAGGGTCGTGGATGCACTTCAGAATCTCACGCCGCATGAAGCAATGGAACGATACGTTTGGATTCCTGACCTGTCCGAGAATATGGTCTCCATTTGTCTCTGGTCGTGGTCATGGTCGTGGTCATGGTACAACTGTACAGTGTGCCTGAAGCGGTGTGCGTAGGTCGACCATACCATGGAGCATCGCCGCTAAGTTACCTGTACATCTTGCCCGACCTCGACACATATCCCTGGCCAGGGCCATTTGCAAGCATAGCAGGCTTTCCGGTACCCTTTCTTCTCGAAACTTGGCGTGACGCCTTGAGCATATACATGCACATACTACTTCCGGTATGATTTGCACCGCAAGAAGACTCTGAGCCCTTGTCTGTAGTGTGTATGTATCCGCCATCTTACCTGCCACGTGACCGCCCTGTCGGGCGGGCCGGTGTAGCTCGACGGTCGTTGCTGCAAAAGGCAAAACATAGGGAGTGCAGACGACGCCCAAAAGGGGGACAAGGTACACGGGGGTCAGCACGATCGTGGTCGCAAAAGGGTATCACGTGCAAGGCGAGCACAGAGCCGCGACACGCTCAACACACACGCTGCAAAAACAAGAAGGCTAGGAGCCATAACGGGCGGAAACGGGTGTCCCATGCCTGATGAAACAGCCCATGCGCTGACAAAAACGATGGGAAAATTGGCCAACAACCAAAAACAAAAAACAAAAGGCAGAAGGGGAGCGTCTGACAGTAACAGCAAAATATCAACATCAACATCAACAGCAACAGCGACAGTAGCGCATGCTGTTTCACAAAAATGTTCAAGACCAAACGAACAGAGAGCGACAGAGGCCTCGGAGAGCAAAACACCCCCAAGCACCTCGACCGAGCGTACAGTACTCTCAACCCCAAGTGTGCGGCGCACTCAGTTACTCACCATCTTGAGCACGTTCCCGAGGTAAGGGATGCCGTTGAGGTTAAGAGCCTTGGCGGCCTCCTCGGGGTTCCTCATGACACAGAAGGCAAACTTCGAGTTCAGACGGCATGATGTCACCGGATTCCCTGGCTGAAGGTTGAGCCCCACCTTCTCCGCGAGGAACGCCGTATTCGGATGAAAAGAGGTACGATAATTTACGCAGTTGATATTGTGGACACTTGAGTGGATAGCAAGATGCGCAGTCGAAATAGATGGTTTGGAACAAAAAATCGTGGCAAGAGAAAGAGAAAGAGAAGACACATCGGAAGGAGGAAAAAGGGAGGAAAAATCACAACACGCTGCGCTTTTCCGAGATTGAGCAATTGCATTGTATCGTCCTTTTCGATCACCTCGGACACAGGAACACAAACCGAACCAACGGATATTTCCATCCGCTCCAATCCCTGGCCACACAGCGAACAATCGCTCACGCCACCGGTTCGCGAAAACAAGCCAAGGTCAAAACATAAACATCACCCTACAATGCATCCACAATACGAGCATGTGCTTGTAAGGGAAGGGTCCGTATTCTCCTTGCTGAAAGACGCAACACAAAACACGCGCGAAAAGAAGCAAAAGGTGTCGAGTAGGATCGATCCGTTGCTAACGTATCGTGTATGATACCTTGAGCATGGCCGCGTTGAGGAAATCCACCAGCCCCTGCTGTGTCGTCCCTACGGGGATGTTTCCCACGAAGATTTCGATCTGGCTCTTCATCTGGGGGGTCATGGCAGCCGGCATTCCGCCTAAACCGCCCATGGCACCTGTCGCGTTGAAATAGTTCATTGAAATGTTTCCAGTTCGCATGTAGTCTCTTGTTGCTCTTGTTGCTTGTGATGGTATCGTTGTTGCCATCGTTACTGCCACCGTTGATTTCGCCGTTGCTTTTGAAGTTGTTTGTGATGTTTTCATTGTTGCCGTGGTTGTCGCCATCGTTGAGTTCGTTGTTGTTGCTCTTGGTGCTGTTTGGTTTCTGTTTGTCCTTCCAAGGTCATCGCCCGAAGTGGGACGACCGTAAGACGACAATACCCCGCCTCCTGCACTTTTCGAGCCAAGCAGGTGATGGCCGTTCAGCCCGACCAACACCAGCTGCACCAATCCTTAGCCTTGCTACCTTGCTATCGCGGAGCAGCTTAGAATCTCCCGCAGAAAACCATACCATACACCAGCAAGCAACAACAATCGCCTCACTTGTCCCGCCCAACACTGCTGACTCTCGATTGGGCGCATGTTGCACTTGCCTGGAAGGCCCAGCCCACCCAAGCCACCAGCACCAGCTGCGTGCACGCTTGCCGGAGGAAGACCTCCCAACCCCAACCCACCCCCGCCCAGGCCCGGGATGCCCAGGAGGCCCGCGCCGGCGGCGCCAGGGGTGGCCCCGAGACCTAAACCGGTCGCATGTTGATGAAGAGCGAACCAGTAGGCCAAGATGGGGGTGCAGCAATAGCCAAGGAAAAGCGGGGGCGAAGGATACGTCGTGGACGCCAAAGGAAAGTTCGGCGGTATTTTTTGAGGCTGGCAGCATCCAGCCTCGTCCAAGGCACTCGTTGTCACTCCTGAGTTGGGCATGGTATGATACATCGATTTACCAACAAGAGACAGAGACCTTCACTCACGCAGCGTATGATACAAACGTACATATACACGCGTGGCGGCCGACAAATGAACATTACTCTTTGATTAACCACCGCAAATCCCACTCCCCTCCCCACTCCTCCCTCCTCCCGCTGCCCTCACCGGCTTGGAGATCGACGGCGCCAGTGGGAGGGGGCGCGAAGCGTGACTTCTTTCGCCGCGGGGGTTCTTCCGATGCCGCGGGCTTCTTCTCCTCGACGCTGGACCCCTCAGCAGGGGCCTTGTCGCCGGACCCGTCGCCACCGGCGTTCCCAGCGCTGTGTGTGTTTATGATTTTATCGTGTAGTATTTTCAGCATGTCGGTGCGTTTAAGGTACAGCAGTAGTGGCCGTACAAATCGATAATTTCCTGAGAAATGCCGGAATTTAGGCCGAATGTACACAACGCCGGTTGCCCGCTATACAGTAGTACAGTAGTCTACGCAGCAAGATTGATCAAGCAAACGTATGGGATAAAAATATTCAATCCGTGCTTTGGGGTTAGGGTTAGGGTTAGGGTTATAGGGATAGGGTCTGCGTGCCCCCTCCCTATTACTCTTCTAGATACCGGTACTATTCAAAGGGGCTGGCACCTACCGGAATCATAGCGGGAGCACTTCTGTACACCAAGACACCAACAGCAGCGCTCATGGGAGAACCAATTACCGACCGGAACCAGACAACGGAGATAGGCAAACATGCACCAAGAACCCGTCTACCAACTTCATACCAACGCAAGCGACACCCAACACGCCGAGAGCGCCCAAGGGGAGACTGATTCGTCACCTGGAGGTGTCGGTTGTGCCCGGAGCAGCTTCTTCGACATCAACCTTGAGCGTCATCTCGCCCATCTTGAAAAACGGCAGTATGTAGCCGAGCAGGGTTAATCGATGGATCGGTGAAAACCAGCAGGGATAGGATAGGGTAGGATCGGGTCCACAAACGCGGGTGGGCCGTAAGAAGAGGGAGGGGGGACGCAAGAGAGCAAAATCGACGTTTGTCGGCATGTTCGCTGAGACAGGCGGACTCGCGTTCGTCCCAACACCGACGTCAACACCGCCTGGTCCTAAACACGACAAGCAACATGCACGCCGCCAGCGCTTGGAGCCCCTAGACCTAGAAAGAAATAAGATACCGTCTCATGGATGTTATTGAAAGCCACACCTTAAGACTCCCTGTGTCCTTTGGCAAACGCCAACCGGCATCACAACGTAGAACAAAAACTAACCAAGCCAGTTGATCACCCACTCACGGCAAAGACTTAAACACCCCCCCTTAGAGTGCTGTGGATATACCTATATCGTAATATTTCTGTGATTGTATGTTACACTTGTGAAGTACGTATTTTCAATAAACCAGAGATGAGACAAATATATGGTATGTGCATATTGTACTGAGAAGTCAACGCACCTCAAGGTCGTGGAAGCCCTTCTTGGCCTTGGCCGTGTCGTCGTCCGTAGAGTACCGACACGTGCACGTCAGGCTATCGCCGTCCACGCTGCACCGAAACATGTCCACCTGCACCAGCGCCATTTTTGCGCCATCATGGGGGGACAAAGATGGTTGTAAGCACGATCCAAGAAGCGTCGAAAAGGCGTCCAAAAGAGGGGGGCGGAGGGTTGATCAACTGAATAACCGTAGCGGGTTTCAGGAGCAAAGCCAAGGAGGCAGTAGGCGCATGATAGCGCAAAAACAGAGACGCAAGCCGGATGGGGGACTTTCAGTTTGAGATAATTACGTGCAATGAGAGCGAGAATAGACCTGGGTAGAAGGGGAGCTGTACAGGTTGACTGCTCGGTTCGAGACACCATGTTTGTCCGAGAACTCTGCACTCCAAGAACCATCTTATTTACAGTTGCGCCAACCTCAAATATGCCATCACCAACAGCGCAGAAAACCATGCGGGTTTCGAAAATGGTTCAGGTCGGATGCACTTACCATGTCGCTTCTCTGCCGAGCTCTCGCGGAAACCCGAAACTGCTTCTCATTCTACATCCAAGTAAATATGAGGGACCGAAAATAGAAAAACTTTCGCTTGACGCTATGGTTTCATTGCTAATCTATCCTTCACTCTTTTTTCGATAGAGGTGGGTTCGTCGGGTCATACTGAGAAAAACAAAAACAAAAAAAATGAGTTGAGCTCTTTCTACGATGAGCGGCCGGTGTACATGGCATACCGGTCGCCCCGGTGGTCTAGTGAGTAACCTCGCAGCCTGCTAAGGGCCAGGTCATGGGTTCGAGTCCCGGCAGAGTGAGTTTTTTCTCGCAAATTAAATCCTGGTATAGGATGAAAGCGACGCGCTGCAAAGCTCGTTGTTAGTAAACCATAATCGACTTCGTAAGTCGCGAGGGAAGGGATCGCTGTACCATTCTCGCGATAAAAATACTTCAGGCAGGAACCGCAGGAGGGGGTCCAGCCCCCCCCTCCTATGTGACCCCGGTTGGGTCTATAATAGTAGAAGTGGAGGATAGGGGCCAAAAAGCGGCAGACGACAGAGTCCAATGATGGGAGAAAAAAAAAAAAATGGTAGAATAGCAGTAGTCAAATGCATTTGAATCAACACGCTACTATTTTGACAGGTTCGTGTTTCGTGTGTTCCTTCTTTCGTTGGGTGATGAAGCAGAGGGGTGATTCAACATTAACCTATCTGTAGGTTCTCAGGGTTAAATAGATTTGCACCTCCGCGTAATCCGTTCTCCAATCAAAATGCATTTGGAGTGTTGCGGTATAGTTTGGCAAATGGTATATATATAGTCTATATATATTATTTTTTTTTCGTCCCATCTCTGGCGCCGCCTGCTTACTCCTCTTCGGTGCACACAACACGTTTGCCGCGTATCTGCACTTATACTTCTCAGCGTACTTGGTACACTACAACTAGCTAGACGCACCATCCGGGGTCACACAGGAGGGGGATTGGTGTCGGAGATTGGTGTCGTGTTGATTTCCAGGTGTACCCTGAACTTGGTGATAATCCATCCCGGAACCCGTTCTGGGTACTTCTCTTTGTGGAAAAAGCACAAACCCTTGTTCACAGGAGACAAGAGACTGCGAGGCTGCCTGGACAAGGATCTCTCGGGTTCCACCAACAACACAAACAATGCTGCTATTTGCTACTCCCTCCGTCTGCGGATCGTCAATAGTGCTGTAGGTACAAACTGAGGTGATGCCCTCCTCCACTCTGGCGCCGAACCAACCTTGTGCGGGTTGTTCGTTGTTTCCAGGTAGGGTCTCTCCTCCGAAAACAGCAACAGAGATTCACCAGAAAGCTAGGACACCGGCAATTGGACAGGTCCGAGACGGTTTGCTGCGGGTGTACCCCACGCATGGCCAAGAAGGACGCGCGGGAGGGACGGTACAAGTACAGCAGCATCATCCTTCTGTATCGTTGGTTTGTTGGTTCGCTC